GCTTCCTGAGCTGCCTCTGGTATTTGCTGGACCCTTCACTGAACCCAATTGGTTGGCTAATGAGCAGCAGTCTACTTCAAGGAAATAAAAGTGATAGTCTTCCACTGATTTCATGAGCTGAACTGGCTCAGAAAGAGACTGGTTCAAGGCTGACTTGGAAAACCGAGGAATAGCTCATGAGGAACAGTTTCCATGTCTTAATTTCTTTGCTCAGAAGACAGCAGCATCGAGAACAAAAATAATGGTACTTAGATGGAGCCAGATAGTCATAAAGCAACATCTTCTGATCTGGTTTGACCCATCTTTGGAGCGATGAGTGTGCACCGGAGTCCTTCAGGTCACACTACTGAATTTCAGCCAGGAAGCATTTCACTGGCTCCTCTTTCACTATATAGTAATGGTGTGTGCTAAAGAGAGCAACAGCTCCTAACAATAATTAAAAGGAATAAGAGAAATTGTAAATGGGCACCTGTTAGATCCAGATCAACGTTATTTGTTACAGTCATCATGTAAAGTTCATGGCTCACTTTGCTTTGCCTACAGCGTTACAAACCGAAGTGGAAGCTTGATTTGTTGAATAACTGGGATATGTTTTATAGTCTGAAGGAGAAAGCTCAAAATGTGCCCATGGATATCTGCCACCTACGAGTACCCAGTTGGTTCAGCACAAAGAGTGTCCTTCCTGGCCTTCACATGGGACTTGGCTGTAGCAGTGGGGACAAACAACCCTCAGTACCGGGAAATATGTTAAATAATGCTTACTGGAAGCTGGGCTGTGTCCACAGTGTTTTCCATAAAGCTTGCCCTGTGAAAGGCAGAGTGGGAAGGGTCCAGAGTGCAATATGGCAAAGGCGAGCTCAGACATCAATGGATGCTCCCCAAACAGGAGGGCACGTCAGTCAGCCTTGACCCTTAACATCAGCAATCTGCTTCAAAGGCAGTGCTGGAAGCCTGTGACTCTACCAGGGAGCACAGGCAGAGGTTTCTGTAAAACATGCAAAAATGTATTTGGTCTGCCTTCAGAATTAGGAGAATTTTTAACAGGGTAAATTGTGGGACCATGCAAGAGAATGTCTAGGTGGAAGGGAGTGGAGAGATGAATCTGCTCCTTAGCAAAATTGTGTAAACAGTACCCAGACCTGGAGATTCAAATAGCATAGTACCTTCTCCAAGTACAACACACATAAGAGGAAACCTGGAACCAAATCCCAGAGAGGTAACGAGTCCTGCAGTTGTAGAACTACTTCAGAAGTCATTAAAGGGATTATATGTGTCCCTCCATGAAGCACTACTGGAAAACCCACTATAATACAATATCTTATTGTATTTCAGCAGGTAATTATTACCTATTACCTAAATACTACTGCAGTAGTGCTACAGCACTACTAGAGAGATTTTTGAACAAAGATGAATTGAGGTGCCACACACTACTCTTGAGGCAGATATGCTACACTATGTGATTACAGAGGGTGATTCCACTCATGCAAAAAACCTCTTCAGCATGAACACGGACAAAGCCATTCTTCAGACATGCAAAGAACAAAATCCACCCATAGAAATCTTAGGACTACTAAGTTTTCTGGACAGTTAACCAGTTCAGAGAAAAGAAATCCTCCTTATCATGTGGAAATTCATCTATTGATAAAAATCACTGTCTGTATGTCATTTCAATTTTCCATATTTTTGCTTGCATTTGAAGGCATTGGCTGAATGTTCCTCATAGAAGATAAATTTCTATTTATCCACAGAGGGTGCATAAACTGGATTGTTATGGAGTAGGAAACGCTTCAAAATATTTCTTTGATAACTTAAGGGTGAATTAGAAAGAACCTTTGACAAAAATTGTTTAGGATGTTTATTTCTGTTTTATTTTCCTATATTTCACTGAGATGGTGACTGAGATCCTAGGGGACCTTCCCAGCAGTTCCACTGGCACAGTGAGAAGAGGGAACCAAGGTGCAAGGATATGAAGAGTCACTGAGGGCTCAGGAGGGAGAGAAGGTCCTTCCCAACCCAGGTCCTTTGCCAGAGCCAGATGTGTGTATCATGTAAGTACTTCTCCCCATTTCTGACTTACCACTTTATTTAGTAGTTGTTTTTTTTCTCCTGAACTTTTTAATGAGCCAGGGCAATCAATGCAGTTTAGTTCTTATGTTATTACTTAGCTAATTGTAAACTTTATAATAATTTGTTTCCTCTGGCACCAAAGATGTTCACTAAATGGGATCATCAGATTTCACTCCTTTTGCATCATACATAGTCCTCAAGCTCGTGATATGTTTGGTTTTTTTATTAACTCTGTTATAAAGCACTTAACTGTTATGAGTGTGTTATCTGTATAACACTGTCTAATTTTTAAACAAAAATTAAACAGAAAGTTAGGCTCGCTGCCAAAACATAAGGAACCGTTCCTTCAAACAAAACTGGGGTAAAAGAAGCAGGGCTGCCACTCTAAGATAATTTTTATTTATTGTGTGATGTATCTTCCTTCAAATGGGAATTTGCCTTCGATGGCAAATCCAGATGAATAAGAAGGGAATTAAAATATAGGTGGACCAGAATTTTAACTCAGCATCTGCCAGCACTGTGTGTGACAGCACCTAATGACTCCCAGCAGATTAATTCAGTTCTCTGTATTTTACAAAGCTGGACAATTAATTCTTTCCCCAACATCACAGCCATGTGAAACAATGCTTTGGAAATATCCATCCTGAAGGCCAGTGACCTGCTCTACCACGTCTAACACAATGAGAGATCACCTTTGCCTTATGTTCTCCTGCCTCCTGGCTACATCCCATGTTCTTGTGCTGTAATGGGTTCCCTCCCATTCCTAGCTTATATTCTTCAGGATATTTGCTATCTCAGGAGTACAGACACCACCAGACCGTGGCCATGAGACCATTAACGTTTTGCTTTGGGAAACAATCCCATCAATGGAGTTTTTCAAGTGAGATCTCTGTTTTTAATCAAATTTAACTGTAGTTTTGGGGAAAAAAAAAAAAAGAAACAGCAAGGGAAATCCTATCTGCTTTCATGTGTTTTTGGAAGATGACAGGACAGAGGTAAGAACTGAGGTATCTCAGACTTATGTAATTACTCACTTTGTATGCAAACCAAAAGTTGAACGTGACTAAAATGTATACACAAAAGATATGTTGTAACTGTTTGAAGGTTACCAGGCAAATTTATTTAGACCGTGTCCCTTAACACTAGGGTTTGGTTTTCTGAAAAACTGCACTTCGTCAAAAAATGCCAACGCTGCCAAACTACAGCTGAACTTTGAAACTGTGACCCGATGCCAGGAGACTTTCCGTGTGACCCTGGGGAGACCTTTTCACCTCTCTGTGCCCCAGTCCTTCATCATCTGGAACAATAAGTAACTAAATAATTAAGAGGAGGAAGAGGGAATAATCTTTCTTCCACCCACTGTCCTGCTCCTGCCTTGCCTGTTTAGATTGAGAGGACTTCACTGAGAGGAGATGAAATACCCTGTGCTTTTAACACTGCATGCAAAATGAAGCCTGATCTAAATGAGGGCCTAGAAGAACTGTTGTAACATGTAGCAAATGGTCCGGTCTGCCTTTAAAAGCTTTAAGATTTTGCAAATAGGAATGTGGCATTTTCCTCCCCATTTAATTACAAATACTACTGTGATAACTGATTGTTGAATGCTCATAAGAAGAGATGCTCTTTATGTCCAAAGAAGACATAATGCAGCAGGGAACTTTGCAGGACAAGAACCCTTGCTCCTGGCTCAAGAATGAAAAATCCCTGCTCTGATACTTCCCTAATCTCTCCAGAACCTTTTCATTTCCCTTCCTCCTTATTTTCTCGAAGTTCATCTGTCCATGTTCCCATTGTGATTATACAGGATAGGTTTTCTTACCCTTACATTTTGCTGTGTAATTATTATTTACCTCCAGCTCTCATTGCAGCTGTAACTCGAAGTATTGAATTGACTTTCTTACAGCAAGCTGCTACCTGAAGTGTCATGTGAATGGCTTAACTCATTTCTTTCCCTCCAGGGAGCCCTTTGCAATGTCAAACAATGTAAAGAAGCAAAGTGGGTCATGGTTAGACAGTAATTTAAAGCCACCATGGATCTGTACTGCTGTCCAGAAAGGCAGTTTCGTCCTTTACTCACCAACGTGCTCACCACCTCCCTCATCCTGGCACCAGTGTTTGTCTGGCTGCCTGGTGGGCCAGAGGGAATTAATCCAGTTATTACTAACCTGGCAAAATAAAATCAATAAAACTTTAAACTCGCCGCAACAACAGAAGAAAAAAAGGTAACCATGGCCGTAGGCAGGCTCTTTGCCTCCTCACATTTTACCCAGTGACTTATTTGGGAGGGCTCTGGAATCTACTGTTCTGTTTTCCCTCTTGTGAGACAGAGTTGATCACGTGTGCTGAGGAACCTAAAGCTTTCTGGTTTCTCCCCAGTGAAACTAAATGTGTATCATTCAGTGTTCTGCCTTTACTTTCCTCCTTTACAGACAGAAAGAAGTAATATTACAGCATTAGAAGAAAACATTCTCGCTGTTCTTCCCTTCTTTGCTTGCGTTGGTCCTGCAGGGATTTCAAGAAATCACTTCCTTCTCTGCTCAGCAGCAGTGGCACACTGTATATCCAAACATTTCAGTTTGTGTGTTCCATGGGTCCGGGGAAAAGAATCACAGAATTGCTAGGGTTGGAAGGGACCTCTGGAGATCACCCGGTCCAACCCCCAAAGGGTATCATATCGTCTGATAGCTGTCGCTCCCAGTGCCGCATGATGCGCTTGTAACTTTGTCAAGGCACAAAATTCCATTCACGCTCCAGGGGCTCATTCCGCAGGTCCCATATATTACCATTTTAAAGGGAAGCCCTACTGGGATAGGGTGAAATAAGGGAGGAGCGCGACGTGGACGCGGCCGAAGCCAAGGGAAGGGGAGGAGGAGGAGGAGCGGCGGCGGCTTTGCATCATCAGGTTACATTCCTTGTTGCCCTTGCCTCAGGTTACATCCCTTATTCCTGCCAAAGCATCGCCGCGTGGCTGCGGGCGGGACCCGTTCAACCACCGAAAACTCAACGGGGCGAGCCAGGCAAAGGGCGCAGAATCAGAGAGGGACAAAAGCAGAGAGGGCTTCAGCAACTGCGCCCCTGGGAAAAGAGCAGGTAAAAAAAAAAAAATCGCTTTATTTTTGCTCCGTTTCGCCCTTGCTCGGGCGTCCCTCGCGGCCGGACCCGCGACGGGGCAGTTAAAGACCCCCCCACCCTGCCCTGCCTGGTGACACCGACCAGCCCTCGAGTCCCCGCGGGACCCGCCGGGGGGGCAGCGCGACCGCTCCTTCCCCGCGGGCACCGCCAGCCCCGCACGGCCGCCGGGGCGGAGCGCACACACCCCCCGGGGCTCCGTCCTCGCCGGGGATTGAGCGCGGCCACCACCGCCTCCCTCCCCCCGGGCTCCGCCGCGCCCGCCCCTTCCGCCGCAGAGCGCTGCCTGCCCTGCCCGAGCCCCGCACGGCCGCGCTGCCCGCGCCGCTCCCGCGCCCCGGCAGACCGGTGGGTAACGGGGGGGGGGGGGCCCCCGCGACACCATGGGGGCGTTGGAGTGTCGCCCAGCCTGCCCTGCCTGCCCTCCCTCCCTCCTGCCCCGGCGGTTCAGTTCCGCCGGGACAGGGCGCCTGGGTCGACTATCCGTGCGTGGCGGCCGGGGAGGGGGGGAGCTGGGGTGGCAGGGGTCGGGCTGCGGATGCCCGGGGTTTGGGGATGGCAGGGGTCAGGTTGGAGCTCCTGGGGGTTTGGGGATGGCCAGGGGTCAGGTTGTGTCTCCCGGGGATTTGGGGATGGCCGGGGTCAGGCTGTGGCTCCCCCGGGGATTTGGGGATGGCCGGGGTCAGGCTGTGGCTCCCCCGGGGGTTTGGATCTTTTGGGGATGGCCAGGGCCAGGCTGTGTCTCCCTGCTCGGAGCCACCCCCGTGTGCCGCCCCGAGGCCCGGGGAGGTGGGAATTGCCCTCGTGGTTTCGAGCGCAGGGAGCCTCCTGGGGCGCACGGAAAGGGATCGGGGAGATCCCGGCGGGATCCCAGCTGGCCGGCCGGGCCGAGGTGTCGGGGCCGGCCCCGGTGCGGGTTTGTGGGGCCGTTGCCGCCCTCGGGGCCGGTAACGGCGCTGGGATCGGCGCCCCCGCGGGCGGCCCTCGAGGCCGGTCGGTTGTGCCCAGCCCCTCGCCGGGCACCGGGCAGGGTCGGGGCGCGCAGCTCCGCGGCATCCCACGGAGGGATGCGCGGGTGGGTTTGCGGCTTGGAAGGAGCCCTGCGAGCCAACGGGGGCGTCGTGCCCGCGGGCCAACCCGCTGCGTGAAAAGCGCCGCCAGCAAAGCCGCTCGCAGCACCCCGGTCGGCGGGTTTAGGTGACGCCTGCGGCTCGGAACATGGCTTTCAGCACCCTCTGGCTCGCTTTGAACCAGATATTCCCGTTGTCCTTGCAGAACACCATGGCCACTCTCAAGGAGAAGCTGATGACCCCCATCGCCTCGGGAGCCACGGCCCCCAACAGCAAGGTCACAATTGTGGGCACTGGGCAGGTCGGGATGGCCGCTGCCATCAGCATCCTTGGAAAGGTACGGCTCAAGGACGAGGTGCCGCTCAGGCTCCCCCTGCCGCAGTGCTCTTGTGCTGCCTGTTTGCCTTAGCCAATGGAGGGGGAGTCGGTAGGTTAGCACAGGAATGAATCATATGCAGTTGGGGTAAGCAACCAGTGACCTACAAGGCTGACCTCCCCATTCAGCTCCTCCTTGCTTGCTCTCTCACCTTTCCGCCCGTGCTTGGCAATAAATCTCTCATTAGGCAGAGTTATTTTGCAGGCTGCTGGGGAAATATAGTGAGCAGTGGCTCCTAAGCCCCGGCCAAACTTTTCATTCTCTTCTTAATTTTCTTATTCTTCCGCAACAAAGCTGGAGTTTTGCTCGGTGAGGGAGCTCTGGTGGGAAAACAATGTGGGCAGAGCAGAAATGGATGTGAAATATGGGGTAGCAATCAGAACAATAAGTGTTTGCTTTTTACTCTTTTAAGGCATGTGCGCCGTAATAGCTGAAAATACTGCTATCCCCTTAAGCAGACTTCTTGATTTCTCTTATTTTTTCCACGGAGGTTTTAGCTAGTTTTTCAAAAACTACAAATAGAGGTCTGGATTTAGAGTTTTTTGTTTGTTTGTTTGTTTGTTTTCTGCAAATCTTATATTATTCTCTTTGAGCAAAGCAAAGGCTTGTTATGCAACAAGGATGTCTTCTTTGCAGAGAATACTGTGAATGAGTTAAATTTGATTCCTCTTGTGCTATTTTGGAAAGACAGATGGGAGCTGCAGATCTTTTTTTTTTTTTTTTTTTTTTCCTAACAAAGGCATAAACAGATATGCCCTGCCCACTTGCAGAGGCTACCTTAAATCAGGTAGCTCACAGTCAGATGAAAAATCTTGCATGTACTACTAAACCAGCTGTGTTTTATGCAGATGATCCTTCAACATATTACCCTGAGAATGTTTGCTTTAATATAGTGGGGTTTAAAATATTAAAAAAAAAAATAATTAATTGCTGATATTCATGAGCCCCATGACCAAGGGAAAACTGACATTAAGAAAAGGCCACAGTGGAACTTGAGTACTGATGTGAAGGTAGCAAATAATTTTTAAAAAAACTTATATAAAGGAGAAATTTAAGGGGAAAACAGTGATAGTTCATTGTGGGTTTCTATATTTATTTTTTTAAGCAAATGTTTGCCTCTCATGGGCTGAACTAGTTTGTTTTTGAAGTCCTGGAACCTTGTACAGTGAGGGAGACAGGTGATATTACCACAAACTGCTCTACAATCCAGCATTCATCTATGTTCGGTACACTGTTTTAGGCAGGATTAAATTTTTGCTTTCAGATATCTAAGCGAAAAGTTTTACTATTACTGAGTTTTGTGCACCAAACCCAAAGTAAAAACTGGTTTTAAATTTTTCAGGCAGGGATGATGTCATGGATTTTATGTCAGCCAGACTTCTGCTCTTATTCTCTTACAAGTATAAGCTGCAGTATAAAATATTTTTGTTACAAAACCGTCTGGTTCTTGTAACTGAATTAGTCATTTAGGTTGGAAAATACCTCTGAGATAATTAAGACCAACCATTAGCCAAGCACTACCAAGTCCACCATGTCCTCTAGTGCCACATCTACAGCTCTTTTAAACACTTCCAGTGAGGTGACCCAACCACGTTCATGTTCCAGCGCCTGACCATCCTTTCAGTGAGAAAGGTTTTCCTTATATCCTATCTAAACCTCCCCTGGCACAGCTTGAGGTTGTTTCCTCTTGTCCTGTCTCTTGTTCCCTGCGAGCAGAGCCCGACCCCCATGTGGCTACAACCTCCTGTCAGGGGGTTGTAGGAAGGGGGAAGGTCCCTCCTGACCCTCCTTTTCTCCAGGATGAGCCCCCCCAGCTCCCTCAGCTGCTCCTCATCACACTTGTGCTCCAGACCCTTCCCCAGCTCTGTTCCCTTCCCTGTACAAGCTCCAGCCCCTCAATGTCCTTCTTGTCATGAGGGGCCCTGAACTGGACCCAGGATTTGAGGTGTGGCCTCACCAGTGCCCAGCACAGGGGGACAATCCTGTCCCTGGTCCTGCTGCCACACCATTCCTGATCCAAGACAGGATGCCCTTGGCCTTCCTGCCCACCTGGGCACACACACTGGCTCACACTGAGCCTCTGTCATCCAACCTGTGCACGGTTTGGCTCTAATACTGATTTCAGTTCACTGGTGTAGTATTTAATATTTAAATTTGCCTGACACCAAAACTTCCATGCTGGTTATTTTTAGCTCCCTCTCTGTTAGAGACAAGTCACTGATGTTGCCACACTGATTTAGAAATGGGAACATGTCCACAGCCACAAATCAGCTGCTTTAAATGAGAGTATTTTGAGCTGCATTTAGTGGTTGTGTAGGCTTCATTCCTGTGTGTGCCGATAATGAGCCGAGTTCTTCTCTAGACAAGTGATGCAAATTCATGAAATTAGTCATTGGAGCTATTCCAGCTGCTCTTCTCTTTTAAGTGAGAACCTGTTCTTGGAACCTGCAGACTCTGGGAAATATTGGTTGCAAGTTCTAGACTGCAAGTCCCATCAGACTGTGTGTATAAATCTATCCATAATTGCACATGTGCACACATTAATTTTTCAAACTCTGATTGTAGTACCTCCTTTAACACCAATGACTTCAGTTAAGCATATTTTTTCATAGTGTTTAAACAACTGAGGCATTCATTTTACCCTGCAGGCTATTTTGAGAACAGAGCAAGTACAGATACAGATTCTTATGATTTTTCTTCAACAGTTTTATCAAATCAGCTGCTAAAGGATGCAGTGCAGAAAAGCAATAAACCAACATTATTTCAGAGTATGAAATGGAAACTTTAAATATGCCTGCAGTTAAATATATTTTTCCACAGGAAAAACAGTGTTTTAGTTGCTAAAAACGGCTTAACTACTCTCAAATGGAGTGTAGATATCTAGGAAAATAGAGAAGAAGTAATTTGAGTTTCAATATAATTTACTACATGATCAGCCTCCTTTAAGGATAATGGAATTAACAAGGATAATAAAAATTTCTGTCAAAAGGCTTTGCATTAGAGTAAAATGCCTTTTCCCTTCACTCCCATACTTCATTGCTTTCCTGTTCTGAGAGTGTATGAGGTTATCTCCCAGCTTAACCTGGCTGGACAAGAAGTACACATGGCTAAATCTATTCTGCAAAGTAAATAGTATTATAGAAATTAATAGAAATTTAATAGAAATTTAGTAGAATTTAGAAATATAATAGAAATTAATTGATTGAAGCCACATTAAAAGAGAATACGGGTTTGATAATTATGTGGAGTGTTCTTTTAGGCATTTAAATATTTACAACATGTCTATCTGCTGGATGGTTTTAGAAGTTTTGTTCCAACTCTGAAAGATACAACTTTTTTCCAAATATAATAACTAAATTGTGAAGTGCCTTTCTAGCAAAGGGTTGGCTGTGAACTCAAACTCCCTGCAAATCACATCTTTTTTGGAAAGTCTGAGTTTTATGAACCTGTGCTGTAGCAGCCTCTGTTCCTGTGGGATACATCAGAACACCAAGATGGTGCTGTCCCCCAGGTTTAACTTTGGAAAAAAGATGCTTTCAGATGGCTGTTGCACGTTGCTTTGAAACAAAACAGACCTCAACTCAAGGTTAGCTTTCAAATGCAAGTGAACTGCTTCACTGACTCCAGATTTTGTTGTTTTCAGGGTCTTTGTGATGAACTTGCTCTGGTTGATGTTGTGGAAGACAGACTGAAAGGAGAAATGATGGACCTACAGCACGGGAGCTTGTTCCTTCACACTCACAAGATCGTGGCAGACAAAGGTGAACCTCCGTTTCTTTTAGTTATTACTGATATTCTGTGACTTTGCTTGATAGTGGAGAATTAGTTGTGTAATCCTAAAGAATTCAAAGGATTTGGCTTTGAAAAAAAGTGTATGAAATGGGGTGAGAGTTTGGATGAACATCATAGCAGTGGGAGTAGCTCTTAATCTGGGCTTTCTCTTACATCTCTAATGGCCACTTTACAGTTTGGGGCTTGTTTAGTAAAGTTGGTTTTAATGAAACCATAGTACCTCTTTGTAGAAGAAATAATGTCGTTATTTGGGAAGTGGAGGTGAGATCCAGAGTGGTTGAATGTGCTTTCCAGACCCATATATGTTGATACCTAAACTGGACAATGTTAAAGAGGTGGTGCTGGGTTTAAATATTGATGCTTCATGGTTTTGGGTTTGACTGTAATGCCCAGTGGAGAAGCTACCTGTAACACTGTCTGAACACAATGCTGTTGAAATGAGTGACAAGTGTATTTAACACATTCTGTGTCTTCCCCCCGTGCTCTGGTGTAGATTACGCTGTGACAGCCAACTCCAAGATCGTGGTCCTGACTGCAGGGGTTCGTCAGCAGGAGGGGGAGAGTCGCCTCAACCTGGTCCAGAGGAACGTGAATGTCTTCAAATTCATCGTTCCTCAGGTGGTGAAGTACAGCCCCAACTGCATCATCATTGTGGTTTCCAATCCAGGCAAGGCAATATTTTCTGAAACTGTTCAAAATTCTGTTTCGTAAAACACAACATTCATTCTCTGACGGTCTTTTAATACAAATTGAAGGTTAATAGCTTTTTGTGGACATCTGCCAGGCAGTTGCCAACAGCAGAATGCAAACAAATATCCTGTACATTCTGATGCTCTCTTTATTCAGAACTTGTCATGGTGTCCTTATTTTAAAAGAATGCTTTGTGGTAAATAGTTCTTTACGTACTTTGGCTTAAGCGGTTGGTAGTTTAAAACTTTTATTTCTAAAGGATAACTTTTGTGTCTGGATGTGATAACAGCCATTCTTCAGCATGAAGAACTTGCCCTATATTCTCTATTTTCAGGAAAAAGAGTTTGATGCTGAAGCCTGTGGTGGAATAAGGGCTAACTGTACTACACAGTTCAGCTGGATTAGAAAAGACTTTGCTATAACTGATTACACGTATTTGTGTGCTCACCTGCAAGTACCTCATTGCACTGAGGCAGTTTGGATGTCTGAAGCTGACTTGTAAACGTTCTGATGTGCTTTGTGGAGTGTCCTTTTAGGGTTGTCTTTGCTTGACTCAGCACCTGAGTGAGGCCAGTGCTACAGAACCCTGGCAGTGAAGTCACGCTGCTTTTAAAGATAACTTTGCAGAGTGGAAACAGTGCATGCAAAGCTGGCAGCTCAGCTGGGGGTTGAGTTAATTAGCTGGGGTACAATTAGTCCTACTGAATACCAGTGTTCTGAGCAAGTGGCTACTGTGCAAGTACAAGAACTTAGGGCAGTTTTAAACACTTATCAAAAAATCAAACTGCGACAAAGATCGGCTCGTTCTTGTTCTAGCAGGGTTGAATTCAATCTGTAGACTTGGAGCAGCTGCAGGAGGGGAACTGCATGTTGCTTTTGCAGAATTGTTTTTATAACCCTTTGTTTTCTCAATGCGTGGAGTTTTGTCCACTAGTCTTTTACAGTGGAAGTTGTTGTGAGCTCATCAGAAGGGACTTTATTGTGAGCTCATCAGAAGGGGCTTTAGTGTCTTGAAAGCCAGACTGATGGACAGGGGAGTGCTCTGTAGTCTGTACAGGTTCCTGTGATCCTGGCAGGAACAGCCCCAGCTGAAGCTGTAGGAAGAAACCTGTGCCTGATGAACACCTCGAGGAGGTGTGAACTGTGCTGAGATGATGTGCTTCTTGTGCCTGAGCAGAGCAAATGATGTATTTCAGATCTGTATACACAAATGTGTGAGAACTGGCTGGCTCCTGAGAGTTGGAGTCATAATTATTGCAGCCTGTGTGTTATTGTTGCTTTGGCCTGTTAATTACAGATTTTTCTCTCTGCTCACATCCTTCTGTTCTGCCCCACTGTTTTTTTTCTAAAGCTTTATTTTTGGAGACACATGCAGCTGAAGCATATTGGTCATGTGGCTTTTCCTGCTGCAGAGGTAGCAAATGCAGAAACTGCTTAATGCACAAATCAAGAAATTAAAGTGAAGTAATTACCAACTACAAAGAGTATGCAAATCTCAAACTTCTCACTGTAAATTGTTTTACCCACTGTTGTGATGATGAACTGGAAGGTAATGTTACTTCAGGAAATTACTCGAATATTTCAGCCACATGAGATCAGTCCCAGTTCTCAATGCCCTGGGGGTTTAACTGTGACAAAAAAAATGTGTCCCAACTTTAGCTGGTAGGAACCGAATCTCCAAAGATCTTCCTCAAATTTTTTGAGGACCCATCAAGGTACTGTTCAAAATCTCAAGCAGTGCATTCATTTTAAATCCCCCAAACAGTCAGACCCAAAATACTTTGACCAATGAGCACAGCCGCGTTTTGAGTCCTCCTGATTGCCCTGCTACCTCCAGTGAAGTAGTTGCTGGAGCATTCTTGGTGTGAGTGGTTTAATTTACTGTGCGTGTTTTTCCTTGCAGTGGATATCTTGACCTATGTCACGTGGAAGCTGAGTGGCCTGCCAAAAAACCGCGTGATTGGAAGTGGCTGCAATCTGGACACGGCCAGGTTTCGCTATCTGATGTCCGAGAGGCTTGGGATCCATCCCAGCAGCTGCCATGGCTGGATCTTGGGAGAGCACGGTGATTCCAGCGGTAAGGAGCAGTTCTGACTTCTCTGGGAATAAGGAATAGTGTTAGAGGTTGAGGTCTGAGGGATGTTACAAAACCCTGAAGGAACAGATGCAGCTTCACTCGAGTTACTGGCACTGAGCTGTAGTTTTATGAAGATTAGAGCTGAGACAAGTCTAGGAAATGAGAGAATTGGGATTGTTCTCTGGAGAAGAGAAGCTTTGGGGTGACCTAACTGTGGCCTTCCAGTACCTGAAGGCCCACAAGGAAGATGGAGAGAGGCTATTTCCAAGGGCCTGGAGTGACAGGAGAAGGGGGAATGGCTTCACACTGACAGAGAGCAGGTTTAGATTGGATATGGGGAAGAAATTCTTCCCTGTGAGGGTGGGGAGGCCCTGGCACAGGTAGCCCAGGGAAGCTGTGGCTGCCTCATGGCAGGGGGTGTTGCAGTGAGATGATCTTTAAGGTCCTTTCCAACCCAAACCATCCTGTGATCCTGTGAAATATAGCTGCACATCTTCAATAATTTAAACCCTGAACCAAAAAGGCCAATTTTGTGAGCTCAAGTTGTGTCCTAAAGGCTACAGCTTACTACTTTTCTTTATCCTCAGTTTTTGGAGTACCATAACATAGCCTGTAGCACAGTTCTCCTCTGAAAGCAGTATCAGCTCCTTTTAAGTCAAGGGCAGAGCTTGTTAGGGGTAACAGAAAACCCTGGCAATCCACACTCAGGCTAACAAAATTATCCCTTACCTCATTCCATGACTTTTCTCTGTGCTACTTAAAAGATGGTTTTAAAACCATGTCAAATCAAAGAAGCCCATCTGTCTTAATTCAGCTCATGTATTTAAAGTCTGAAATGATGCAGCAGAATATCTGTGTACATTGGTACTGCTTCATATTTTTGTGCTGTGTGTTTTCTAGGGGAGCCACCCCTTCAGTGTCCCATTGCATTTGATCAGCCCTACCCTAATGAAAGCAAGAGTTTGGCTGAGCATACACAGAGCTCATCCTGCAGCAGTTTTTGCTTTGAAGTAACTCAGAATTCCTGGTTACTTCACAGGAACAGAGAATGAGCCTGCCTTGTAAGCTTCTGGCGTGAAGAGAGGTGCAAATTCCTCTCTTGATATTTTAAGTTTGCATATTGCTACCCTCTCACTCGTGTAAGTAAGAGTAGGGTTCTTGAAGGCTGAACCTAACACTGATGAGTGAAACAGCAAATACATCCCTGCTGCAGATCTGAGCAGAATTAGTTCTAAAAGGCTGAACAGCTAAGATGTGCCTTTTTTGCTAGAATTTGAGGTTTCTGACTTCAGAGAGGGCTGTCTACACCTTCCCAAGGTCTCAAAAGTTCTGCTGTCACGTGTTACAATCAACTTGTGAAAGTGCCAGTACTAAAACAGCCTCATAATTGACACCCAGAGTTCTCAGAATTAACTGCAGCTAAATGAAAACTGAACATCTGCCTCAAACATTATAGTGGTTCTGACTGCTGCTACTTATGGTTCCAACTGTTTCAGACAGGGAAACGTGGAGGGGGAGTTGCAAAGTGCTATTGAAATTTATGTCCTCTCTCTGTTCCAGTGGCTGTTTGGAGCGGAATTAACGTGGCAGGGGTGAATCTCCAGCAGCTGAATCCTGCCATGGGAACTGACAAAGACCCTGAGAACTGGAAGGAGGTCCACAAGAAAGTGGTTGACAGGTACAATGACTCGAGGGAACAACATGGATATATGTGATGTCGAAAACAGCTTGTCTGCACCACTGTCTTTGTGATGTGCTGCAGCTTTCATGCCCTTTTATTTAGAGGGCTGCATGGGTAAGTGGGGCTGCTGGTTTAAACACAAAAATGCAGGATTTCACCTGGTTCTTTCATTATCCTGCAGCCAGACAAGCTATTGCATAACATACTCACTTAAGTACTGCAGTGCTTAGAGCTGTGTGTGCTTGTTTTCTCTCATGGAGCTTCTTAAGTGGTTCACAGGGCACAAGGCCAGGGAAGGGCAGTGTGTTTCTGTGAGCAGAGCGTTGGAATTGGGGGAAATCTCGTTCATTGATGCAGGGAAGTTTTTTTACACGTTGCTAAATCACTTGTCTGGCTTGTGCTTTGAATGTGCTCTCCTGCACTCTCTCTGGATGTTGGCTAAAAACACCAGGGGGTGTGTGTAGGTAGTGCATGGCTTCGACTCTGAATGTTTATGTATTCCAAATGCACTCAGAATTATTGTGCCACTGACTGAAATTGAGAATTTATTAGCTTTAGGTGTGCTTTTCTACTTAACACTAAGAACTCTTCCTAGGTGGAAAGTAATTTTCCTTTCAGCTAATCCTGTGAGAACAACAGATATTCTTTATTATACATATGGGATAATGTGGACTTTATGCTTTATCTTCTAATGCTGAAACACATCACTCTCCTACTTTGATATTTGAATTCCATACCTTAGAAAGTGTTCCAGGAGTTTAATTTTTTTTTTTTCTTAAATGGGAAACTTTCACTCTTCTTAAGTAATTCACACAGTGTCTTGAAGGAATCTTAAATGCCACTGTCTTTCCGTGTTTCCTTAGTGCCTATGAGGTGATCAAACTGAAGGGATACACAAACTGGGCTATTGGCCTTAGTGTTGCTGACCTCTGTGAGACCATGCTGAAGAACTTGCACAGGATTCATTCGATCTCAACACTGGTGAAGGTAAGAAGTGGTGGCTGATTGGATGCTCTGGTTCACTTTGTTGTTATGGACAAGCTAAGTAGTCTCAATTTGCAAGGGGCTGAACAAAGGAAGCTTTGTAAAATACTTTGAATTTAAAATGGGAGCTTACTCTAGCCATTCCTTCTAGGCTGACCTCTTAGCCTACTCCTCTCACAAGTATGGAGCTGAAAATAAGGTCTCTGTACCTACCCTTGGGTAAAGTTTGCCATTTGTGGCATGCAGATTGATTGGTGTAAAACTGGAAAACTTCATGGAGGCCCAGCTGCAGTTCCACAAACCACTGCCTAGCAAAGGTCCTGGGGGGGAGAACTGTGTCCTTTTCTAGCTGGTGTGACTGGCTGCATCCAGTCTGGACCAGCTCTGTGAGCCCTGGTGCAGCAAGGACTCTGAGCAGGTTGAACTCACTGCTCCGTCTGTAGCAGGAGGGATGACCTGCCCTAATCCTGCAGCTGAATCTTGTCAGATAGTTGCTGTATATAAATAAAAGCGAGAGGTTTGAGGAGGTTTGAAGGTGAGGTTTCTGCAATCAGCCATCTTGGCATTGCCAGTCTTTTGATCCAGAAGAGCTCTGTGCTGTTTATTTTCTCAAATATGCTGACTGAAATTTTTCTGCAGGCTGTAGAATGATAGTTTTTTAGCTCTACTCTCGGGATGCTTCCTGTTGTATAAACTAAATGCACATCTGGGCAGTTGGGCTCATATCTGATCTCTTCTGCCTGTGGCAGGGCATGTATGGCATTGAGAATGACGTCTTCTTGAGCCTGCCTTCTGTCCTAAGTGCCTCTGGATTGACGAGTGTCATCAACCAAAAGCTGAAGGACGATGAGGTGACTCAGCTGAGGAAGAGCGCGGATACCCTGTGGAACATCCAGAAGGACATCAAAGACCTGTAACTCATAAATGCCAGATTCCAGCCATAGAAAAACCAGCATGTTGTGTGCAGATATGGGCTCTACTCACTCTACATCTCCAAAGTTAACATTAAATGCTCTTCCAGACGGTTCATGGTAGCTAAACTTAACGCTTGCTGTAAACGCACAAACCTTACGAACAAATAAAGCAATTTTCAGGCATGTTTTGTTGTTTTTGTGACTTATTTTTAGTATCTAATTATCTAGCCTACTCTGGCATCCTCTTTTAATGTTTGCCACAGGCTTACATGGAAGTATGGCTTGACATGTCCTTTTCAGAAGGTTAGAAATAATGTAGTAATAGCCTGTGGTGGGATTTCATTAACACCACCTGAGTGGAAGCCTTTTCTCAGTCCAGGTGCTGGCTAAGTGTAGTTCTCTCTTATTTCTGATAGAGTGATTCCTAAGTTTTTTTACTGATGGGTAGAAGAAATGGAGTGGGGATTTGTCTCTGAGCCACCTGCCAAAAATATGCCAACAATAAGATTATGCCTAGAAAAGTCCTGTAGATACTTCTCTTTCCTGGATTAAATTCTTTGCCTGGTAATGATGCCTAGTTTCTATAATGTGGATTATTTTGTATTTGACAACCAAAATTCAAGGAGGTTTTTTATTTAGCATTAGGCTGGAGTCCATGGTGATAGTCTTGTTTATTAAACAATTCAAGTTGGGTCTTCAGTCTCTAAATTTCAACGTGATTTTTTTAAAGTGCTCATGTATACGGAGAACAGTTGTTAAAAACAAGGATTATTTCTTAATCACAATTATGGACATTACCATAAAATAGCCTGTACTTTCTTGGCATGCCTAGAACTGGTCACTCTAGAATGTCTAGAGGATAAACAGTATTAAATCTATCTTAAGTCATAATTCAGGGGTCTATAAGATTTTTTTGTTCCATAACAAATGGTCTGAGACTACGATGGAGCAATTTAAAATGCTTTGCATAGTGGACTAAAATAATTTTTATAAGCAAGTAGCTTAATTTTTGTGATTCCTTTGAAAAGGAGAGGTCACAAGTTTTGTTCTATTGCAGGATAACTTCTGTGATTTATAAGTTTCATATAGTTACTGAAATATCATGCGTGGGATGTTGCTGACAGCATTATTTACAAAGGGTATCCCAGGGAGGCCTTAGGAGATGTTTTATTCTCAGTGACAGGCTAAATACCAGAATTTTTTGCCAACAGGAGATTGAAAATTTTGATTTCTCCTTTCATAACTTGGTGTGGAGATCCAGGCTTTCCACCCCTGGACAGATTAGCTTATAGCTCCTGCTGAGAACTGCTCCTGATCAGCTGCTGTGAGGTAAGTGGCATAAAATGCTGCTCTTTGCAGGACACACCCATTAGGAGTATGCACCTGAGCACATTTAGTCCAGGAACCTTGTACAGTTCCTTCCTGGCTTTGTTCTTACACTGTTCTCAGTTAATGAGGTAATTCAGAGCTGTGCTGTGGGACATGATCTTGCAGGACTCTTGGGAGATGTGCACGAAGAGGCACTGGTTGCCTTGGAGGGCAGGGAGTGGGGCCTTTCCCCTTCTGATGGTGAATCTTGATTTCTGAAGATCACTGGGCTGCAGTAAGACAGTTTTCTCACTGATTGCATCCTCACCCATTAAAGTTTAGGGTCACAGCTCGTTCTGTGCTCAGCAAACAGCCCCAGGGTAGGCTGGTGCATTTTGACACATGGGCACAGTGTTTTAAGCTGGGAAGCTGCTGTCACCTGGTGGTTCTCAGCTGCTCCTTCCATCCCCTCCAAGGCCACTTTTTGGAGGTTTTTATTTTTTTAGTGGTCACAAGGTCTTTTGTGCCTGGACTTTAAGCAAAACCAGAGAGCTAATGGCAAAAGTATGGTCTGTTAAGAGAGAACACAGATAAAGGAATAAGGAAAGAACAGTGGTTTGCATGGTGAGATCTTTTCTTAGCACATCAGCAACCTCACTGTGCTGCTACTTCTTTTTGATTTCTACCTTTTTTTTTTTTTTTCCCATCATGAAGGAAAATTCTAAAAAAACTTCAGCAGCAATGCAGTAGCCTTGTGGATGTTATGGGGGATTAGTTCAAAGTTGTTAAATAGGAATGAGCATCTCAGGTAGGGGATTTTGAGATTTTTATAAACAGGCTCTTCAGGCTGTTTATCTGCATTCACTGATGTTTGTAAGCCCTATGCAAGTACATGAATTATATTGCAATTATTTTTTATTTTTATTGTTGGGAATCTTCTCACACAATCTTTACATAGCAGTTGCATGGCTGTAGAACAAACAGCTTCCCTGTCTGTGCTGACACAACACCAGCCTATTCCTTGGAGTCAATCCATAATATCCATAATATAGTCTTAATTCCTTAATAACTCTATTATCATAGTACTTCAAAGATACCTGAACTTTGTTCTTGTTATCCTACGAAAGGCAATACAGGTTTTTAGCCACGTTCCTGTGTGTCAAGAGGTACCTTTGCCACTCCTTGGTCTACCAGAACACACCGTGGTGCTGTTGGACAGAGCAGTAAGAAGCAGCACTTCAGAAAGCAGAGGACAACTTGCTCCATTCACACAAGGTAGGATCAGTAATGTTATTTTAATTGCTGTAAGGACCTGGACCCCCTCGCATTTCCAGGTAATTAGATCCTGGCTGTAGAGCAGAAGGTCAGTCTGACTACCCTGCAAACATCAGACAAGCAGGTACTGACAGACAACAGAGACACAAGGGATTATACTGACTTTTAGTATTAAATCAGCTGCTTTTTTAGTAGTCCAAGGATAAAATCAGGGCAGGACACTGAAGTCAGGCTTAAACAGTGAAATAGTGTTAAAAAGAACACATAGCTGGAGAGCAATGAGAATGGCAGTCTAACATCATTTTCCAAAGCCAAGTCCAATAGGATTAACATTAAACTTGCCCGTGGCGAGGTGGTGTCTGCAGGGTTGGTAACTGATTCTCAACTCTGAGGATGAAGCAGCAGAGGCCACAGTGCTCTGCAGAGCTGGGAACACCAGCCTCACTCACACCAGCTGATGGCTTTAGGTTGGTGTGTCCTGCCTGCTTATTTTGGACAGAACATACTGGGTGTCTCTGAGGAAAGTCCATCATGTCACATCACTCCCCCAAAAATTCAGAAGGTTCTGAGCCCTCTCTCCCTCCTGGCCGCTTCCCAGGGTCTTCTCACTGGAAGGAATAATTCTCCACTCGTGTGAGACCTGGAAGATTTTTTGGCCTTGCACGAAGAAGGAACAGAGGCCATCACTTCGCAGTTGGGCTGATCTGAATTTGCTGAGGTCAGGCAGGCACTGAGGGCTGTCCCTAGAGCATTTCTGAACACCTCCCTAGTTTTCCCTAAACTCTGCAGTGACAAAACAACGCGGGCACTGGAGGACTCCTGTTAATGCCACCATTGCCACCTACTGCCCAATACCTAAAGTACAGTCCGTGTGCATCAGTAACTGCTACAGACCATTGTCTTTTCCTCCTTTAGAATTTGCCTCAATGCCTATGAGCATTTTTAACACCTGTGTCTTATTTTTTTTCCCCTACAGTTATTGTAGGGAAACTCTAAACTCCAGTTCTGTTCAGAACGAGCCAGTCCTGGACAGTCACCTGCTCGTAAACTCCCACACATGGAGGGTGTTTTGTGCCCTACACCACTTGCAGCAATGAGACTGAAGCTGATTTTCCACCATAAAAGGTTGTCTGAAGGGGTTCTTGTGGAGGGACTGTGGTGTGAAGACAACATCCATGGCTCACCTCCTGGCGTGATGCGCTGAGTGAGTTTTTGGCAGAAAACTTTGATCTACTCAGAAGCAGCTGGATCAAAGTGTGCAGAGCAGATGGCATCCTAGGAGGGGACAGTTCCAAAAGGAGTTTCAGGTAGGGCAGAGTGCACAGTGCTGTCCTTGCTTTGCCATCTCCAGACGACTACAGGAAATTTGGGGAAAACGACACACGTTTTATACATTTCTTGTCAAACTCAACCTTGCTATTGTCCAGTGTCCTTGCAAGCCAAATTGTTTCACTTCTGTGAGCTGAAAAAGAATTTAGAGAGGTAACAAGTGATGTCTGGCAGAGTTGCCCCACAGTGAATAATGCATTACCAAAGGGCATCTCTGTAGTTAGTGATAAAAAACAACATGAGAACCTGGATAGGCCAGACTCAAAACCAGTTTCACTGGTTTCCAGACTTCTGGAAAATATTTGAATCAATGTTATATTTTAAAAGCTACTCTTTTGTTGGTACATTTCCACCTTCCCACTTCAGCATGAGCTCTGTTCTTGTGAAAAAGGAGCAAACCGTGCAGTCGTAGCCACAACCTTTCCCTGTCTCAGGGACAAAAATGGCACATGGTTGTAGTGTCAGCAGAGCATCCTTCTCCCCACTTGCACCTCACTGCACCTGACAAGGAGGACAGCTGATGGTTGTTCTTCCCGATGTCAGAACACAGCTTTTCTCCTGGAGAGTTCTGATGTCATTTTGCTGTAGGTGCACAGCTTTATGACCTCCTTCATGGCTGCAAACCTGGATAATTCCAAGTGCACCAGATATCCCACAGATAATCCCTGCAGGCCATAAATATAATGAATAGGGAGGGCCCTTTGCCCTCTAGCAATTAAGAGCATTTGCAGGGATGAAACTTTCTGGATTGTCTGTGGGAGACAGCCTTTCCTAGGCACTTCATATGCTTTTCCCCCACTGAAAACAAAAAGCAGGGATTTGGGATGGCTGTGTGTGGAAAAAAAACTTTCCTTAAGACATGCAGACTGGATAAAGGGAAATATACTCGGAATACAAATTAATACTGATGTTCACAGCGCTATTGAGCATTTCACATCAGTTAAAAACCCCCACGAGTTATCTCCAACCTGTGAAAGGTGAGTTGTGCTCACCCAGTGATGGCCTTGCCGGTGCTTGTGAAATTATCTCGTGGTATCTGATGACCCTTTCAAACTCATTCTCCAAGGTTTAAGGACTTAGACCACCTTCTGTCAAATTCAAAAAGTGAAAGAAGTATCCTCTTACTACAAGCAGAAGCTGGAAAAACACGACACCCAAGAACCTGAAAACCACAGACTATACAAGGAGCTTAAAAATTTTGTTATTACAACTTTACTTCATTGCTATAAAATTATTTGCATGTCTTCCAGGCTTTGGAATGCTTAGGGGCA